TACATTAACTCTAAAATAAAAATCGTAGTTTTTTTTAATATAAAAAATACATGAGATTTGTTTATATTTGCTCTGCTCACAACTTCATTCTACCTTTGGACATTAAAAAATTAAAAAAAAAAAGGTACTGTGAATTGCTTTGTCTGATTCTCAAATGAGAACACTGGAGATAGAAACCAAATGAAAACAGATATTAGATCATTTGTACCTGACCCACCAGAGATACCCACTATACCTGCTCATTCACAGATAATTTTCTTCCAGCTAACTTTAGGGGAAAAAAACAGTGAGCAGGACTGATCTGTTTTCTGTTGTCAAAGACCTGATATAGCAGGGTCAGAGGCACCTGTGAAATTTTACTATGGTTGAAAACTTCTCTTGCTACACACATACAACACCATGCAACACACACCCCCACAAGCACACATTATATCTGAATGGTTTACGTTGCAGCGTATATATCAGTGCATTATCTGAATGGGCTCAGCCAGGGAATTGAAAGCTCAAAAGAAAGAACCTGGCGAAGAGGAGCTTTTGTACACAGTGTGGCAGGCAGGCCTTGGAGAGGTGAACGCAAGAACGTGCAGAGAAGCTGTTGGCGACTCCCACCCAGCTCCAGCCAAGGTGGGAGTGAGAGCAGAGAGTTGTTGCATGTCCAAGAGTGTAAAGAAACACTAGAAATTCCAAATTGCATGTGTTCCCTTTCAAATTTTAAATCTTGGCTCAAAGCCATGAATGAAACAACACCTGTCTGAGGACAGTGCTGGCCTGTAGGCCCACTTGTTATGACCTTTGGCTTTCCTGGGTTATAACATTTTCAGATAAAGATAATCGTGCACATTTTTCTATGACATTACATAATCTTCTAATGCATCATTTCTGTAGGTACATGATATTTAGTTTTGTGGCCATTCTGTAATTTTATTACATAATCTTCTATTTGTGACACTTAAGCTATTTCCAGTTTTTTAGTCTAATAAATAATGGTGCAGAAAACTTTGTTGTACATGAATTATTTTTTTTTTGCATTTTTCTGATTATATTCTTAGGATAAATTCCTAACTAAATTATATTATTCCTAATTCCTAAATTAATTTATATATAGTTTTTGACTAAAGTTGCATACACTTGCTTTTATTAATCGTAATTGATGGTAGTGTTATTTTCCTGTAGCTAGTAATAAAAATAAGAATTAGAATTTAGAAAGCTTTGCAAATCAGATAAATAAAATATCCTATTTGAAGTTTTAGGTATCACTTTATTGATATGTGAATTTTCATATCTTTCATGTGATTGCCAATTGGCAGGTTTTAAAATTTGTCTTTTGTCTTTTTGCAGGGAATTTTGTGATGTATTTTATATGCATCGATATTTAACTTCATGGCATCATTCATAATGATTTTCTCCCTCTTAAAGAGGTACATGTGTAATGATAACTTTATTTAACTAATTTGTACATTTTATACTCAATTGTCATTTATATGGACTTAGAATAAGATGTGAAGAGATCTAATATTGTTTTCTGTCAAATAGTTTAAAAATCACCCAAGAAACACATATCAGTCAATTCATACTTTCTCCATAAATTTGAAAGGTGGTTCTATGATCTACTACATACTCCCACATATTCTGTTCTGGTTCTGGGTTTTCCATTCTATTCTATTGTTTTTTTCTGTCTACTTTTGCACCATTTTCTGTCTACATTGCACCATGTTGCACCCTGTCAACATTATTGCAGGGAATAATGTTCCCTGGGAACATTATTTTTCCTGTTATAATTTTACTATATAATTAAAGGTTCTAATTACCATTAGAGCCTTTATCAATTATCATTTACTAGTGTTTCATTTTTAATTATATTTATTATATAAACTTTTCAAGCTTTTTATATAAACTTTAGAATGTTTCGTGGATACCTCTGTCTTTATGAAATTATCATTGGATGCTGTAAATTAATTTAGGGAAAAACACCTTCATAGTGTCAAATAATCACACCAAGGAATATTTTACAAGAATTCCAGCTTCCTCTCTTGTCCCTCTGTGACATCTTATAGTTTGTTCCAAAATATTGAACAAGAAATTTTTAATAAATCTGTTTATGTATGCATATTCGTGTGCATGTTTCTAAGATGGACTTTACCTCTTTTTAGTTACACAACAAATGAAATCTTTTTGCCATTGCATTTCTAAGGGTGATTTGTGCATATGCATATAATTCACAAAGAATATGGGGGATATGTTAATAATATAAAATTCTTAATTTTGTAATTTGGCTACCTCTACGTGTTATATGCAGGATATGCTAACATGGAAAGGCTATTATTTTATATTTAGGCACTTTCCATGTATTAATAATTGACTTGTAATAAGAAGTAATGCTTCCATAAAATCATACTTATATATTTATTTTAAGTCGATCTTTTGGAATGAGATGGACTTAAATAAATATATAAGTATGATTTTATGGAAGCATTACTTCTTATTACACCTCCTCACCTCTGAATAAGAAGTGTTGCAATGACTTTATGGCTGCTCTCTTGCTTCCATATTTATCCCTGGAGAATTGAAAGTTTTCCAAGAGGATGAATACTACAAATAAGCCTGCACTGTCTCTCTTCCATAATAAACCAACTCCATCTGTATTCAGCTGAGATGATATAGAATCTAGTCTCACTCAGAAGCTAATATTTGTCACAATATTTAGGATACTTTTAAATTTTTAATGTGCATATGTGAAGTATTGAATCTATTTGCTTCCATCATGGAAAGCTTGAAAAATAACCTAAGGATTATGACAATTACTTGAAAAAAAATAATAATGCTAAATCTGTTTCTTCATTGGAAAGGAGCAGAAGGCACTTTAAAAAGTGAATATTCTTTAATAAAATAAATAACTCTGTATCAAATGAAGAATTGATGTGGCTTATGGAGTGTGTGGCCCAGCAAGTAAAATGCGAGGTGGAAATATGTTTCACGCCATGACACGAGATGGATGATTAGATTACAATGCAACTCAAAAATAAGCTCATGTGGGATAACCACTAAGTGTCAGCAAGCCTGCGTACACAATACATTACTGAATCACCACTGATGCCTGAGCTCTGACATTTCTGACTATAAAAATGACAGATTTCTTTTTACTTTAAAACGTCCCCTCCTGCTCCCCAAGGTCTGTCACTTTGTGATATGGAGGTCAGGAAGGGTTGGAGCATGGGTGCAGGTCCACTCCGAGAGCCAGAGAGAGCACTGGGAATAGTAAAGCCTTCATTTCACCTTTCACAATTTTTTATTTTGCATTTACATGGCATTGCAATCATCACGCGCAGGCCAGCAACCTTTAAACAAAACTCCCCATTTATCTTAGCATTGTATATATGAGCTAATCGACTGGATTTTTAAAACATTTCAGTTGGTGCCTATGACCTCTATGTGGACTGAATTCATAAGTGTTTCTTTCTTTGGGGGAAAAAAAATCAAGTACAGAAAGCTTTGGAGATCTGTGTTTTTCACTATCTTACTTTTTTCCTTTGCTTTGGGATTGTATTTCTTTGATCATAGACTTTCGGAATGAATTCCAAGGCCAAAGTATTTGAAAGCTTTTCTTATATTGATGAAATAAAGTTGAAACCATGTACTTATCCACATTCCTATATTCTTCCTAACCTGGGCTTATTTTCATCACAAGCGGAAAGCCACTGGGCTAAAGTTGTTGGCTTTCTCGTCACTGGCCATCTCCGGCATGTCTCTGAATGGCTGTCATGGGACAGTGTGTTCACTTTCAAGGGAGTCTGCTCATGGGCACTACCCACAGCTGCTCTTCCCACAGCCCCCAGGTTGTTAGCACTTAGAAAAGCTAATATTTTTGAATATTTAAAAAGAGTAGACCCAATGTCAAGGGTTATACTATTTTTATCCTTGCTAATTAAGACATATTAAATAAGTATTCCATTGCCTGCTAGTAAGTGCTGGTGCTCACTCTTAAAACAAAGGAGACTCAAGCACACCTTTTAGTCCTGATCATGCAGACTTTTCACTTGTTGAGGTAAGAGTATGTGTGTCTACTCTCTCATACACTCATTCTCTCTCTCCATGGGAAGGTACAGCTATAACTTCTGTAAATAAAATCACTACTCAGTGAATTACTATAAGCTCACCAATATTTGTCATGACTATATGACTGTAATTGTTAATTTTACGTCTTTTAATCAAAAAGAAATCAGGTGTTGCTATGAAGATATTGTGTAGGTGTGGTTAATATCTACAATCTGTTTGAATTAAGTAAATGAGATGGCTTGCAATAATATAATTTAAATAAATGAGATGGCTCACAGTAATACAGGGTCTTATCCATCAGATGAAAACTAGTATCAGCTCAGAAAGAAATCCTACTTCAACACTATATCATTCACTCCTGCCTTAGTTCCTAGCCGCCTGGCCTTCCGTAAAGATTCCATACTTACCATTCCCCATAATTGCATGATTCAATTTCTTTAGATAAATCTCTTTAGGTATATATGTAGACAATTGATCCCTATTATTGATGGTAATTATGCTCTATAAAATCAACATGAATGCTGTATGAGAGAATACTGAATTAGAGAATACTGAACCATTCTTCCCAGAGGAGATACAAGTTTCTAAAATTCAAACAAATTTTTAAAAATAGCAAATTTTAATACATTAAACCATGTCTTAAAGTAGAACGTGTACTGTCTTCCTGACAAATTGAATAAACTTGATCTAGAATAGCAAGTATAGCTTAACAAACTGTTTTTGGTCTTCTGTTGGTCTCTTCAAGCTAAAGTAAATAGAAATATCCTAATATGGCAGTCCAGATTAATTGTATTTTTTTCATCTCAGTATCTGATGTTTGATTTGACATTACTTATCTACCTTTCTAACTAAGACTTTCTAAAGGATTGTTGTGACCTGAGAGCATCTAAGTAGTATATCTATAAAATGTATTAATGTATTCATGTATAAATTTATTAAGCACTTACTATATTCCAGGCATTAGGTGCTGGAGATAAACTCTTGATAGGTAAGATCCAGACCCTGCATTCATGTTGCTAAAAACCTGGTAGGAAAGAGAAAGAAAAAAAAAATGTGGAAAATAGTAAAAATAATAATAATCTGTCCACAAATTGGAAAATTGGGCATATTATTCCTCATAAAGAAAGAGCCTGCACTGGAATCTCTGGGAGAAAATTTTACTGTGGATCAAGTTAAAAACTAAAATTCAGAGTACATGCACCTGTCAAGACAAAGGTTTACTTTCCCAGAAATGTGGGAGACTGACACCTCACATAAGCCTGGGAATAGAATCTCATGTATTAAAAGAGAAGTGACTCTGAGCAACAAAGCCTAAGGAAAGACCTGCAGTCCTAAAGAGCGGGGAGATGTAGGTATAATAACCCTGAATCTAAGACATAGGAACTAGCAACTATAGATTGGACTCCATGATACAGAGAATGTTTGTTAAGTTCACTCATATATACATGATACAGAGAATGTTTGTTAAGTTCACTCACATATAATCATTGAAAATTGATTATGCATAGAATTCTATCTGGTAGATATGACAGAAGGTAGATTTCAATATGAGGAGGAAATCGAGGAGAAAACTTTTAATCTGTTTAAGTATCTATGAGAAAATGTACCTCCTTTCTCACATCTAGATGGTAGCTAAGACTTTTACCCCAACCCTGGCAACTTTCTGAACCGGGATAATATGGAACCAATTCCAAAACCAGTTATAAAAATTACATATGTGTAAAGCTATAGCAATCAAGCCAGTGTGGAATTGGCAAAAGAAAAGATAAATGGAACATAATAGAGAGCCCAGAAATAGACCCACATAAATATACTCATTTTTGATAAAGGAGAAAAGGCAATGTAATGGGGCAAATACAGTAGAAACCTCATATGTTGACCAGTCTCAAGAAACCATAACAAAATGGTCAACATACAGAGGTGGTCAATGTAAGGAATTAGCCCACCTGTACTGATATGTACATGTAGTGCATGTCCATACTGTGAAAATTAGGTCAACTTAAGGAGGTGGTCAATGTGGGGTGGTGGTCAACCATGGAGGTTCTACTGTATGGTCTTTTGAACAAATGGTGTTAGAACAACTGGATATCCACATACAAAAAAGAAAACAGAAAAGCAGAAAACTCTAGACACAGGCCTTACACCCTCACAAAAATTAACTTGAAATGGACCGTAGATCTAAATATAATATAAAATATAAAACTACAAAGCATCTAGAAAGCCACAGAGGAGAAAAACTTATACATCTTTGGGTATCGTATGACTTTAACTATAACACCAAAAGCATAATCTAGGAAAGCAATACTTAATTACCTGAAGTTCATTAAAATTAAAAACTCCTTTGTGGAAGACAGTATAGAGAGAATGAAAGTGAAGCCACAAACTGAGAAAGGACAGTTACCCCAAACATACATGGACCTCTTAAAATTCAACAATAAGTAAACAAACAACCTCATTAACCAATGGGTCAAAGATCTTAAGAGATATCTCATCAGAAAAGATATATAGACAGCAAGTTAGCATATGGAAGGGTGCTTCACATCATATGTCATCAGGGAAACCAGTTAAAGCAGCAATGAGACACCATTACATGTCTATTAGAATGGCCATAATTGAGAACACTGGGAACCCCAGATGCTGGGGAGGATGTGGACCCACAGGAATTCTCATTCATTTCTGACGGGGATAAATAATGACACAGCCACTCTGGAAGGCAGCTTGGCAGCCTCTTACAAAACCAAATGTACTCTTCCCATGTGATCCAGCAAGGACCATAAACTTCTAAGTATTTACCCAAAGAAGTTGAAAATATACCCAAGACAAAAACCTGAAAGTAGACATTGGTGGCAGGTTTATTCATAATTGCCAAAATTTGGAAGCAACCTAGACGTCTTTCAGCAGGTGAGTGTATAAACAAATTGCAGTACATGAAGACATGCAGTATCATTCAGTGTTAAAAAGAAATGCGCTACTAAGCTCATTTGAAAGAGCTTTAAACACATGAAAAGAGCTTTAAACACATAATGCTGAGTGAAAGAAGACAATATGAAAGTAATATATACTCTGTGAATCCATGCGAAATCCAGGAGAAGGCAAAACTGTGGAGACCGTAAGAGGACCAATGATGGGTAGAGGTTGTGGGATGTGTTTGTGTGTGTGTGGGGGGTGTTGAATCCACAAAGCTAGAAGACTTTTAAGGTAATGGAAAAAACATCATATAACATTGTACTGATGGACATATGTCATTGTACTCTTGTCCAAGTTCATAGGATGTACAAGACCCAAACTGAATACTTATAAAAACTGAGTACTTTGGGTGATGATGATGTGCCAGTGTAAACACATTCATTGTAACATGTGGGTTACTCTGGTGGGGGGTGTAAAGGTTTGGGAGAAGATAATGTGAGAGACTATGCCTGTGTGGGGGTAGGAGGTACATGAGAAATCTCTATATCTTCCTCTTAATTTTGCTGTGAACCTAACACTTCTCTGAATATATAAACTCTCAGAACAATAAATAGGAGCATGATGATGTTTGAGAGTAGTTGCAGCAAATATAAAGAGGTAGGAAACGGCATAAGGTCAATGGTGCTGAAAAAGCACGATTTTGTCTGGGAGAGATGAAGGGAGGTGCCGGAAATAAATTAAAGGGAAAAAAGCTAAAGGAAAACTTACCTGCTCTACCTAATAAACTCAGACTTCGTGCTGTAGTTGATGGGAATCTGATGAGGGTTCTAAAAAGGAAGTCCTAGAAATGAATTTGCATTTTAAGAAGTATTCTGAGATAGTTGTGAAGAGGATGGATTTGAAAAGCAAAACCATGACTAGGAAGGCTAGGACCTAAGTCATAGGAATAATCCATGGTAAGAAATCGACTTCAGACAGAAATAAGTGATAACACTGGAAAAGACAGGCCAGATATTAAGATATCTAAATGACTGTGAGGGAAAGGAAGAAAAAGGGGTCCTGGGTGACGTTACACATTTCTCCCACTGCAGATGTTACGGGTGCACATCTTCAGCCAGGAACTTTCAAGGCAACATAGATTTTATGCTCATTAAGGGTATGCTTCTTACCTAAGCATCTGGATTTGCATAGGTTTGGATTTACCGAGTGTTATACTGAAATGGAAACAGTCTTGAGAACCTATACTGAGTACCTACTTCAGTCATTAATCATTGTAGGACCCTGAGTTGGCTACTTGCTTACTTTAACATGTAATCCCTTTAAATGTTAAATAAAAATAAGGAAGATCTATTAAATGTAACGAGATATATAAAGGCAATACCCAAGAAATAAAAGCTATAAAAATAAAAATATTTACCTTAGCATGGATTCTTCCCTTAACACGTACAGAAATACAAATATCAAATATGGAGTCAGTATAGAATTAGGTTGAGTTTTAAACATAGAATTATAGAATCAGGTTTAAAATCTGACTAATGGGACTGGATACTTGTCTCTGTCACTACCTAATTGCATGACTTCTAAAAAATTATAAAACATCTCTATGCTTTAATTTCCTCTTTTACGAATTGGGAATAATGGTACCAAACTCATAGGTTTGTAGGGAAGATTATATAAAATATTTTCCTACACTCCATATGCATTGTGTATTTATTATTATAAATATGTAAGTGTGTATATGTATATAAAATGCATGTATAGTAGGCTGAATCATGTAAAATGGCCAATATTCAACCATTTTAGAGATCCGGAAGCAGAGAGATGCTAAAGAGATATCTCTAGCAGCCACTCATGGTGAGACCAGGGAGAAAGGACTCCAGTCACCTCTGGCGGGGGTGCCCTGCCCAGAAACATCCCTTCAGGGGCTCAGAGTAACCATTTTTTTTTCTTTGGCCAGGGCTGGATTTGAACCTGCCACCTCTGGTATATGTGGCCGGAACCCTACTCCTTGAGCCACAGGTGCAGCCCAGAGAAACCATTTCGACTTACAGAAATGGTAGTGTGGGATAAACACATCACATAAAATATACTTACATAAATTATTTTGTTATTTCTTTTTAGTTACTTTTCTTAGGCAAATACTGGCTTCAAGACACAGTTTAATTTTTTTGTCCACTAAATTATTATTTGTCTACTCTGTTAACAATAGTGAGAGAAGCAATAAAAAGTGGAGATTGAGCCCAAAAGTACTATTGGATCCCAACTCAGAGCTGCTTAACCTTGGACAGGTTACTCAGCCTCTAAGCCTCACCTCCTCTCCACCATGAAAAATTATGAAATTATTATAAATATTCAATCAGGTGATATATATAGAGTACATTTTTTATAGGCCAGAGCAGATAGTGATTTCTCAAAAAATATTAGCTACTAGAACGCACATCATTAATTATCTACTCAGTTTCTATTTTATACCGATGCCGTTATATTGTTTGTCCTGCAACTTCTTTTCCTTTACCATCCATTCCTTTTTTTCCTTTTCCTTTTCCTTTTCCTGAACTTCCTTTTCTTTTTCTTTCCTTTTTATTTCCTTTTTAATGAGGAACCACTGTGATTGACTACATCTGAACTATTCTGGAGTTATGTGTCCACAAAGAATCTTTCTTGGACAATAATTTATTGTTGTGTGTATATATATATATATATTTTTTTTTTTTTCTTTCAGGGAGGATGAAATACTTATGAATTTATTTTTGCATGTATAATTTGTATACACAGTATTCCTTCTCATCTTAGAAAGGGAAAATAATATAATATTAATCTGTATATTTGCTTGCAGAAATGTGCAATTAAAAATGGAACTTTTGTGATGAACAGAGAGGGTTATACACAATCCATGAAAGCAGAGAAGGGCTTAACTGAAATCTGAATGTGTATAAGAGAATATTTAAGTAGCCCTAGAGAGGGCAATTTGGTTGTGACTGAAAAAGGAGAAATGCAAATTGAAAAGGCTGATCTCCTGGAAATAGTCCCTGGTAGCTCTAATTGATAGGTACATCTTTGTCTATGCACAGTTTATCCATTTGCCATTAGCCCTCCCTAGGCCATTAGCACAGCTGT